GGATGACACAGAGCACTGAGCACAAAAACTTAATTTTAATGAGCCTCCTATGCATAGGTTTTTAAGTCATAAAACTGGTTTTAAAAACATGCGATGTTTGTATTTCTTTAACTGGTGTTATTTTGAAGCCTGAAGTCTCTGCCTGACTCCTTGCGATTCACTTCATGGAAATACTTTCTGGTCAACTTAGTCCAGTTCTTGGCTATTTTTCAGTCAAGTTTAAGATGCCTCATCTTATGAATTCTCCATTTCCTTGTGTTCGCCTCTGCTCACCGACTACCCCAATCCCACAGCGCTGGCTCTACTACCAGAGGAAAATGAACCACCTCATTTGGAAAGAGGGTGGGCCCCATGTTTGGCGTGATTTTCTAAATGTCCGTTTCCCCCGTTTACTCGCCTGGCCTCAGCTACTCCTGTCTTCACATAGTTTGCATCCTGGGCCTTGGCAATTAGATTGCAATTCAGATCCACGGCGGGGTGGTCCAAGGATCTCTGATCTCCCGGGCCTGGCAGGCGGGCTACAAGGTGCCGACTTGGCCTGTCAGCTCAATTTCTCAACTATCTCTATTCTTTCCTTGGGACCCATATAAAATCTACAGGATCCATTCTTTGTCAACACAGACTATCCGAAAAACCAGAGTGGCTGTCAGCCCCTGGAAAGAGCTTCATCATCTCCAAGCCCTAAAAGACCCCCCAAACTTTGTGGGGCCTCATATAGTGTTTCTCTTTCTTATTTTCTCAGGACCCACCCTGTGGGGGGACAGAAGAACCACAACTTCAGACAGCTCCCCAATCTCCTATGTCTGGCGCCCCCTCTTCTCCCGCTCCAGGGCTCTCTATGTGATGGACGACACACAACACAAGCTCTCACCCCTTCCACAGCCAGGCAAGTCCATCCGAGCTCACAGCAGAAGCAGCGCCCTCGGGATGAGCTCAGGAGCGGCCCGGGGCCTGCACACCCCGGGGTACACGCGGAGGTGAAAGGAGCCAGCAGAGCGGCCTCTTGAGCCTGGCAGGCAGGCGGGGTTGGCTCATCCGCTCATATTTTCAAATTTTATAACCCAACGGCATATAAAATATCTACATTTAAAGGCTTGTTTTATCTTTTCTTTTGGAATAGTAAATCCTTTCGACGGTGCAAGTTATTTCAGAATTTGTAATTACTTCGTTTGAAATTAGTAAATCCATAGTTATATGCATGCAAAATGAATGGCAGTTGTATTCAACAAACTTTTGTATATTAGTGACAGTTTTTAAAGTATTGCTTAATTAAAAAAATAAGATATTGCTTAATTTAAAATAAATGCACGCATCCCTTTGATTTCTTAAACCTCTTTTTCAAATATTTACTCCTCACAATTCACACTTCAAGGAAATTTACTTTACTTAGCTGAGTGCAACCCAGGCTTGCTCAGAATAGTTACAGAAGATTATCTGTTTTCTCAATTTCCTTTGCTAATTAAAATTCCCCTCATTCCCTTCTCCAAATACTTCCAAAGTAAAACTGATTTAGGAGCATCAGCAGTTATTTGTTGCTGCATAAACAATAACTCTAAAACTTGGTAGCATAAAAAGCAATATATTATACGCACGATTCTGTGGGTCAGAGGGCTGAGCATCTGGATCACACTCTACGAATGCGTGTCATGACAGTGGCGGCCTTGTCACCGAACGTGGTACCCTCCCGGATGATGCTGGGGCCACTGTTAAACGTTAGCTATTCCCCGTTGCAAGCGCAGTCAAATCCTGATTCTTTACAAAGCTCCCAAACTGTGTTTGCAAACCTTTCTTTCATCCAGGTCTCCATCCTATCAGTAGCTTTCTATTCCAGTCTTACCCAATTTCATCTCATTCTGAATGTGCCATATACCTTTCATTTTCTGTCACTTGGCTTAAACAATTTCTTCATTCTTAAATGCTTGGAATATTTTTTTTAACCTTATCATCAATTACCCAAAGCTTACAGCATTCAAATAAAATTCACTTTTCTATAATTTTCATATTCCATATCAGGACTAACCTATCCTTTTTAAAAACACCTCTGATTTTTTGCACCTCTACTGTTTTTATTTTTTAATATAATGTAGCCTATTTATTATTGTTTCCTACCTTATAGTTTTTAAACTATCTTAATGCCAGCTACATACATGCCTAGTCTCCAGCACTCTAGCACTGATATCTTAACATAATTAATGTTAACATATGAATACATGAAGGAAGATATCTAGTACTCTCATGTAATATTATACTCACCACTGACGTTCGAGGAAGGTGAGACACTTAAGACCCTAAAAGAGAGATTATAAAGCAGCATGAAATTAGACCTCTGGGGAGACACTTTAGAAGACCCATCGAATAGCTATAGTTAGAGTGATGATTTTTTTCTACTTTTCAATATAAAATCTGCAAACATACTCAAGATCACCTGAATGTTTGAGTGTCTGATAATTACTGTCCTTTAATTTTTCTTTAATATGCATAGCATTTCCTCTGAGCTTAAATACAAAATAAGCTTCAAAGTATGTATTTAGTAATTATTTTTCCTTCATTGTCATTTCACTTATTGTTTTCAAATGGCCATGGACCAAGTTCAGAAGAAGTGAGAAAACAGAACAATTCAATATCAAAATGATTTATTGTAGGACATACTTTGATGGGAAAAAAACATAAAAGAACAAAGAGTTAGAAAACACACACCCTGTATGGAAATGAAAAACAATAATACTTAGAGTGGAAATCACTTTGTTAGAGTAAATCAGCTCTGCTGCAAAACAAATAATTTATCTGTCAGTTTAATGTGCCGCTTGGATTGAAAATTACCTAGTAATCTCTGGCCAAATAGTTAGACTCCTGTAAAATAGTACAGCAAGCCAAATTCTCTTTTCCAAATGATAATTATTTAGCCATCCAAAGAAAGTATGGCTTCACTCCAAACCCCCAGAAGATCTTTCTCGCGATTTTCCTCTGAGTCTTGTCGGAGGCCTCAAGTAGCACCCCCTGGTTTAGACCCCTCTAGCCCCCTGAACCTGTAAAGACTTCCCTTTATTGGAGTAAACGGCCTTTCCGGGCCTGTGATGAATGAGCTGGAGAAGGTCACCCATTTGGGGATTATGTGCACACAAAACCTAAAGGGTTACACTGATCCTCCTACCACTTTGTGAGGGTGTGAGGTTCAAGATGCAGCTTTGTGCTGGTCACATTTCTGCGGCTGTCCCTGTATGCCCGGAGTCGCTGCAAATACCAAACTTCAGAAAGGTAATGGATCTTCATAAGGCTCAGCCTTCTGCATCTTCCATGCGTAAAGGACCTGTCACTTCACAGTTGATATAAATTTGACAAGGGCGATGTCCTAGGAAACTTTGGAGAACAGGGCAAGGAGCTTCGCATGACCTTGAGGCAGGATCCTAGAAGTGTGTTGCTGTTATTTTGGGTAAAAATGAAACACTTTTGGTCATTCAAGTGAAAAATAACAGAAAGACATGGCTTCACTACATCCATAGCTCTGTACCAAGTGCCAGCGAGGCTGTTTCAATAACGGCATAACATTCGGAGCAGCTATAAATGAGGCTGCTCTTGGCTAGGTTCTGGGTCCTGTGTAGACATCCTTCAAAGACCAAGCAAGGAAGGTGAAGGAGAACTTCAGAGAAATTACCATATTTGCATTTTGCATGTCTTTAGTCATGTTGTTTATTGAGGTGAATTTAAGAAAGAGATTAAAGAGATTGCTCAGGAAAAGTTAAGTTCAGTGTCAGAGGATTTTTCAGTTAGTTTGAATTTTTCCTCCCTCAAAAACATGGAGCCAGAGAGTCCTGAAAAGATTATTTTTTCAACAATATTTAAAATATAAAGAAAATAAAATAATGCCACCACCACCAAACTCCTCAAATATAGCTACTAGAATGTCTTCATTATTTCGTTCAGATGAAATTTATGGCAACAGGTTGTAGAAGAATTGAGAGATGTTTACAGAAGTCTCTGTAATACTGAGCAAGAGTTGCTCCATATTAACACTGGGATATTTCCTTTTCTCAAGTTAATACAGTTTAGTATATGTCAAATGAAGCAGAGACACCAATGGGGAAAAATAGATTAGTCAAAAATGGTACAGATATAATTGCCTATCCTTCCAGAAAAACATAATTAATTTTGTCTAACTTCACTTGATTGAACAAAATAAATTGCAGGTGAACTAAAAAATTAAATGTAATAAGTTAAGCATAAAAAATGTCACTCACTGGTACCTTTTAGACTGCTCTGCAGCATTAACATTTTAAAATATAATATATTTTTTTCCTATTTAGATCATATAATTCTTGATCCCAGCTCTACCTTGCCCACTTCCAGGATTAACTGTAGAGTTTTCCGCCCACATAGATAACCTTGTCTTTAGATTAGTTTAATGTAAACAGGAGTCGTCAAGACCAATCCATCTCGCCACATTGGAGATGTTCTTTTCCTAAGTACATAGAATATAAAAAATAAACCATCAAAACTTTATTTTATTTATTTGTATTGTGGTAAAAACACTTAAAATGAGACCTACGCGCTTCATAAAATGTTAAGTGAACAAATAACATTATTGTTAACTCTAGACCCAATGTTGCATAGCAGGTCTCTGGAACTTACTCAAGTTACATGACTGTAGCTTGGTATCTGTTGAACTACAACTTCCCATTTTACCCCCTTCCCTGCCAATCACCATTCTATTCTCTATTTTTATGGATTTGACTATTTTAGATGCCTCGTATGAGTGGAATCAAGCCGTATTTGTCCTTTTGTTACTGGCTTATTTCACTTAGCATGATGTCCTCCACGTTCATCTATGCGTCGTCGCATGTGTCAGGATTTCCTTCATTTCAAACACTGTTAAACTACTCTCTAGCCTTATCACACTTGGGCAACCTTTCTCAACAAGACTTGCTAAAAATAATACACACCAAAAAAAAATCTAGAGCTACTCTTTCCCAGTAAAAATCTTCAAGTCATTTCTGAGAGCGAAGAACACATCAAAGCATTTTGAACTTCCTGTCACTAGGCCATGAGCCCGTCTTTCTACCCACTTCTTGCCCATTCCTATCCAGTGGCACCTCACCTTAGCAGCTCAGCTCTCTGATGTAGAACACGGTTAAAGTCATTTTAGAAAAAGCAAAGTACAACTCCCTCACTTGAATTTTCCTTATTGATCGTGACAGTAATATCTTCAAAAGTTTGCATCAGGCTGGAAAAGCTTGACCTCTATGAGCCCGAATTTTCTGTGACCGGCTCTTATCAAAATGTCCTGTAAGTTGTGTTCTGACTTTGTTCTTTACTGTTTCATTCCTGACTGACCGACCTCATCTCTCTATATCCTGACAAATGTCTTTTTTACTCCACAATTCTCTAACAATATCTCTTAAGTCTGCCAAAGCAGTTTGTCTAGAAACTACGTCCTTGATTTTGTGTGTTTTTCATCTCCTGCCCTTCTTCAGGCCATGACTGCTTGACTGCATTTTCCAATGATGATCTGCAATGATGAAATTAGAGAAACTTACAAAGTCAGTTTGGCTGCTACACCAAAAATACTGTAGATTTAGTGTCTTACACAACAAATTTTTATTTCTCACAGTTCTGAAGGTTGGAAGTCTGAGATCAGGTGCCAGCATGGTTGGGTCCTTAGTGAGTCCCCTCTTCTTGGTTTACAGACAACAATCTTCTCATTATAACTTCACCTGGTGGAGAGCAGAAAAAAAGACAAAGCTAGCTCTCTCCTGTCTTTTTTTCTAAGCTACTAAATCCCATCATGAGGGCCCACCCTTATGATCCACTTACATGTTAAGGGCTTAACCTCCAAATACCATCCAATTGGAGGTTCTGGTTTCAACATGTAAATGTGAGGCAGGGTAGGGGAAAGCACACAAAATGCTGTCCACCACAGAGAGCCAGTCATCTGAAAATAAAGGATGCTGTACAGGGACCAAGTATTCATGACAGAGTTACAAGCCAAGGTAAAATATCGATCCATTCATCTATTAGGTTTCTCTTAGTTACCTTCTAACAACTGTCAATCGCTACTCGCAGTCATCTTTATTTCAAACATACATTTTCAACCATGGTGCTTACTCAATTTCTACTTGGCAGGTGAGCCAGAGAGCTAAACACATCCTTTTGGCCATTTGCAACATCCAGGCCAATGTTTGCTTGGATGACTAACTTAAATAAAACCTGTACTGCAGTCTTTTCATAACGCCAACAGAGACATTGAGTGTGAGACAATGTGATCCTGAAAGGGAAAAAGCACTTAATTTAAAATATATATATAAATGGAAACGAAGCAGGATTTGGCAGGAAGCCCAAAAAACAGTATAAAAACTAACAAGTAAACCTAGTTATAAAGCTAAAAGTGGTGGCCATGAAAAGACTCATCTAAGTTATTTTTTTTTACAATGTGATTTGACTGTAAAGCTAAAAACAAGAGCTGCACATAAATGCTATAACCTATTTAGCAAATCCATTTTATGTGCATATGAAAAAAATAATTTATCTCTGGGAGAAAGAAGTTAAATGAGTAAAGAGGGAAGATCGAAAGGAACTCTGGAATCAGGGGTATCAGGAATGAACTCATGATAGGTGATGGATGGATGGATGGATGGATGGATGGATGGATGGATGGATGGATGGATGGATGGATGGATGGGTGGATGGATGGACGGAGGTGGATATGGCGGGTTAGCACATGCATGCATACATCTTCCATCTCTGGGCTGAAGTGCCTGGAAGCAATGGCTCCTGGATAATGAATTTCTGTCTAGGGCGGAGGTTGCCTGGAGCCCCAGCATTGCCTTTGACCGTGTGGATGGAGGGAATGGGTGGGATCAACACCACTGACATTCATAATCAGCATAAGTGGAGATGCTGCTCCCCAACAAATTTGCTCACAGAATTTAGCATCACTGAAATGGCATCGATGACTCCAAATAGTTTATAAATCTCAGAACAAAGAAACCTTTGAAGATCAATGACAAAGTCCCACAGCCCCTTTTATCTTTATATGAATGTCTTAGCACTGTTCCTGTGTCAGCAACATATTTCTACCACATATAGTTGGTTTTATTTTTTAATCTGGTTACATTTATCTGTATCTGCTCCTTTGTGCTTTCTGTATTTAGGAGTTTCTCACATTATTGTTTGCTTTATTTTTTATTGTTCCTCAACAATAAAATACAGTCTATATATTTGTAAATATTGCTTACTTTTCTGGTCTTTCATGGAATTATCAGGCTAAGCTGCTCATCCTCTCACTGGCCCTTGTAAACAATTCAGCCTTTATTTCTCATTCTGATACATAACTCGCACCTTAATCCTCTATTCAAGGCATAAACGTTAACATCCAGTAATTTTAAAGCATAAACAGATTTGAAGTGTGTGGTAAAAATGCATATGAAACCTGGAATACAGTTCTATATTTTGATGTTTCCTAAAGTTATTATGATTGCTATTGATGAAACAATGATTAAAATAACTGTGCCTAGTGTGTATGCTGTTGTGATCATTACAAATAGAAGATTCAAAAATATGGTAATCCAAAAGAAAAAAAAATATTCTAGAAAGGAAACTGGCAGTGCCAATGGTGAAAGGTTTGACTGACTTCCCTGAATTATCTGGTTAATGCACTTAAAATTTTTATTTATTTCACTTCTGTTTTATTTATTTGCATGAACATGACTTTTAATTTAGCTCAGTATGAATGTGCCTCTAATGCATTTTATAAATTTAAAATGGACAATCAGTATTTCTGGGTTTTAGCAGCTCACCCAGCCAAGCATTGTAAGATTTTCCATTTGTTCTAAAGTGATAGTGTGCTTGCTCATGTTGACTCACACTGTAATTAGGGAAACATTTAGACATAAGAAGCTTAAAACAACTCTGTTTTCTTCTCCCTTTCCAGCAAGGCTATAAATAACTAATTTGGCCTTTCGAATCAGTTTTAGCAAATTTACTTCAAATAGCCTATAGACTGTTTTTCATGCATTGGAAGGTGTAATTAATACTAAATATGCACGACTTTTAACCTCACAGTTAAATTAAGAAACTACCCAAACTATGTAGCTTGTATTAAAGGTCTAAGCAATACAAAACTACCAAGGTAAATCTTAAGGAACATAAAGATTTTGCTTATGATGTAATATAACATATCCCAGCGTTTTTCCTAGGCAGTGAATCATTGCTGCCAAAAAGCAGTATAGAGATGGAAAATCTGAAAAATGACGAAGCATTATAGGAGAGAAGCATGAGGTTAAGTGAACTGGCAAGTCCAGAGTGAAATCGCTTCCGCGTAAACGCCAGACACAGATGTGAGGAAACGGGAGCATTAATTCTGGACAAGGGCTGTTCATCAAGCATAGCTCTTATGACCTGCCTTGTAAAACTGCTCGGGTTCATGAATTAATTTCATAGATCTGCATCATTCTATCATAAAGCATTTAGCACCCCCGCAAACACACATATTTCTTCCCTTCCAATATAAAAAGGTATATTTTTCTAGTGTGTAGCATGATAGAAGATGACAGGTAACAGAAAACATTTTTTATTGGTAAACTGTTATCCTTAAAAGATCTCAATATGCTTTAAAAATGTGATTAAACCTTACAATAAGAGTAATAATGAAATACTCTAAGGAGGAACTTTATTACAAACCTCATTTTTGCAGAGATGATGCTTTGAAATGTGGCTTATTTTCCCACGGTCAGGGACATTTCGAGTCCAGAAGCTGATGTGCTGAGTAATAGGAAGAACAGGGCTGGTCTCTGAAGGGCGCAGAATATGCTGCTACCGAGGTGATGCGATTTTAGAAAATTAGACCCCTGCTTCCAAAGTATGCCTTCCTAACTTGCTCAGTGATGGCTGAAATTCTTCCCAACGCGGCCAAATCTTTTCATTCCAGAGTTAATTGAAAATCTTAAACTTGCAAGTAACCTGGAAGGCTTAAAGGAGTGTAAAGGAGCCCAGATTGCCTTGGTCCCGATTTCAGCACTGGAGGAAGTCAGTGAGAACAGGGGAATTCTAGACCCCCCGGATGGCGATGGAGTTTTCACAACCCAGGGAAGGAATTCAGAAGAAGAGACCCCCAGGGACTCAGAGAAGGGTCCCCACTTGAACATTTTGCATATTTGCATCGGAGCTTTGCCTCCCATTGCCATAACCCTGACTCAAGGATGCTTGGTAAGAACTTGGCTTTGGCTAAAACATGATCAAGAAAGGGACCATTGGACCATACAGCTCATCAGTGAAGACTGTGGATGTGCATTGAACAAGTGTGTTTTCTTACTTGTAGAAGTTGTATAAATCATATAACTCTCTCATTATATCATTGTCACCATCCGGGTTTTACCCATCCTTTAGAAAGTGCTGTGAATGATATTGCAGACGCTAAGGACAAGAGAGGCAACACAGTCTTAGAGAAATCTGAGATGGGAATGAAAGAAGTGACAGTTAGTAGGACAATGAAACTTCTATTCTCTCCTTAATTCATTACACCTTCTTTGCCTAACCCATCCTTACTATATTCAATTAAACTGATTTGAATACATGACTATTTTTGAATAAATAATAAATCTACATGATACAGCCAGCAGAAGAGATGAAGTTAAATGAAGTAAAACTGGTCCTTACTTTTCAAATATTTCCTAGACGAGTTGGGAGAAGGGCTGTGAGACGCAGATAACTACCATATAAAGCTAACTCATTATAAAACTTCGTATCTGTATATGCTTTCATTTTAATATTCAATTACACAGTAATATTCAAGTCCATAATGATAAATTGCACATTTTTAATTTTTATAATAAAATGAAAAAACTGAAAATCAGAGAGCTAAGAGTTTCTTCTGTGTTGAAGTCCAGGGTATTTGATTTATGTGCTCTTAAGCACCAAAATGTGGCCAAAAGTATGATATTAGTAACTTATCATTACAAATAGTAATACTTCTTGGCCTGATAGGATTCAATCTTTGGGGGAAAATATGAATGAACATATAAAGGCACTCTAGTCTGAAGGGATGCCATATAAAATGTTTGCACAGCAGAGCATGTATCTGGGGCACGGTACTAGTTTCTATGACCACCGTCACACAGTCCTACAAGGTTAGCCAAATTTATTATTGATCACTTCTGTAGTTCAGAAATCCAAAATGGGCCTCACTGATGTCGATGGGCCTCAAGATGCCAGCAGGATACCTCTTTTCTGGAGGCTCGAGGCCAGAATCCATTTCCTTCCACTTCCCAACCTCTAGCCGCTTGCGCTTGGCCAATGACCCTCACCTTCAAAACCATCAACGTTGCATCTCTCGGCCCTGCTTCCTGAGCCACACCTCCCTCTGACTCTCTCTGCCTCCCTCTTCCACTTGTAAGGACTTCAGAGGTTCTGTTGGGCCCCTTCAGATAAAAAAAGATGGAATTAATTTGCTATTTCCCACCTGCTTCCCTCTTTCCACGAAACCCCACATACTTCCAGCTTCTGGAGATTAGGACACGAACATCTTCGTGGGACCTTTTTTTTTTTGTTGCTTACTGCAGGTGCCAAGAAGGAAGTGAGACACAAGCGCTTGTGAAAAGTGTCACAAGGATTCCTGTTGAGATGTGACTAGGAACAAAGTGCGGTGCGAGCCCTAAAGGGGAGAAAATTAACTTGTCGACGTGATAACACAACAGTGTGTTGCAGCCGACAAGCCCTTCCCCAGGCAAAGTGACACGCTCGCCCCCAGCTTTCAAAAAGGCTGAGCGAAGCGAGAGTGTTCACGACACGCGAGGAGNTCGCCACACGCCGAGGAAGGAGATGGAAAATAATTTACAGACAGATCCCTCTGCCTTCGAACAAACATTTCAATTGAGCAAGAAGCACTGCACACTCAGATTCGAAAATCTGAGGATGTTTCTTAGCAAATCGTCAGCAGAAAAAACAAAGCCTTCATTGTGTAATGTGTGCATTTGAATTAGCGTTTTAATCCCCCCAACTCAAGATGTTCACAATGTTAGCAGCTGAAGGGGAAGGGAGACATGCATAGGACACTAAAAGTTTTGGCGACAGACTTGAATTATCTTTCTGCAGAAATCTTATTGGTC